CGGCCCACCCGCGCGGGCTGGCGACGCGCACCGTCCCCCTTCGCCCCCTCCTCCCCCCGATGAAGACGATGATAACGATGACCGATGACGACGACCGACGACGATGACACCATGCTCATCTAGGATGACGATGACGATGATAGGGGAACAAAAAGTGGTATAAACAGAACAACTCGGAGGTCCGCGCGGATTTCTCGGATCGGCGCTGGGGCCCCCCGGCGGCGCCTCCGGCGCCCTCCCTGGCGCGCGGAGCGCGCCAGGGAGGGGGGTTCAGCGCCGATCCGAGAAATCCGCGTGGACCTCCGAGTTGTTCTGTTTATGCCACTTTTTGTTCCCCTATCATCGTCATCGTCATCCTCCTCCCCCATCCCTCCTGCTCGCCCCCTTGCCTCCCTCCCTCGGCGCATCGGCCAGGCATGAAGGGGCCCTGGGACACACAAATAAGTACACACAATATCTTCTGTGCTTTTGCCTTCCCCCCCACTTCCCATATTCTCCCATCCTTTTTCCTGGGAATCGACGATCAATTGTGTCTGTGTGTGTTTTTCCCCCTCCTGAAGGCAGGCCATCGGAGATCGGGGCCGCCCGTCGCCTCGCGCCGGCTCCCCCCCCGCGTGGGCCTGGCGACGCGCCCCAGGCGCGCGGCGGAGGGCCACGGCGCCGCGGCGGCCACGAGGGCGGAGGCCAGCCAGGCGGCCGCGAAGCCGAGGCAGCGCCTGCCGGGGGGGGGGGGCTAGGAAGGCACCAGCTATACACCAACACCGATCCTGGCCCAGGATCACCCTGGGCCCAGGATCGGTGTGTACGCCCTCCTGCCTTGCGCAAGAAGGCATGTACACCGATCCTGGGCCCAGGGTGATCTTGGGCCAAGATCGGTGTTGGTGTATAGTTGGTGCCCTCCGAGGGGGGAGAGCGCGCGCGAGCGCGAAGGATAGGGGGCCACCTGTGAACCCTACCCCTACCCCCCACGATTTCCGGGGGGTAGGGTGGGGTTCACTTCGTTCGGGAGCTCCCGAGCGCAGTGGACCCCACCCTCCCCTCACAAATCGTGGGGGGTAGGGGTAGGGTTCACAGGTGGCCCCTGAAAGGACCGGAGGGAGAGCAGGAGGAGGGGGAGGGGGCAGAAGGAGGGGGAGGGGGAGCAGGACCGGGAGGGGGAGCAGGAGGGGGGGAGGAGGGCAAGCTGGGTGCGCTCGCGTCGTGCACTGCACCCGACGACCTACCCCTCCCTCCCATGCCTTACCATGGCAAAGATCTCCTCTCGATTCGCACAATCGGATTTCGTAGCATGGCGTAGCATCACATAGCATAGCATGGTGTGGAAGATCAGCGCATAGCATGACATAGCATGGCGTGGCACGCCCCAAAGTGGGGGGGGGCTTCTGTGGCCCAAAACATCAACGAATCGACACCGAATGTGTAATCACTTCCGATGATTTCTTAGGGAAGCCATTTTCTAGATTTGGGGGCCTATTTGGAAGGACCGAACACCATGCCAGTGCATGGCACTCGAAATAATGACGCCACCGCTGCAGCGGGAGCACGATTCGAAACGAGCGGAAGCGCGGAAATGAGGCCAGCGCTGCAGCGGGAGCACGATTCGGAACGAGCGGTAGCCCGAAAACGAGGCCAGCGCTTCAGCGAGAGCAATATTTTGAAAAAAAACAAGCGCGGAAGCGCGGAAATGAGGACACGTAGCCTGACATAGCATGTCGTGGCGACACCCCAAAGTGGGGGCTTCTGCGGCCCCCAAAACTCAACGAATCGGCATCGAATGTGTAATCACTTCCGATGGTTCTTTCGGAGGTCCATTTCTTAGATTTGGGGCCTATTTGGAAGGTCCGAAAACCATGCCGGGGCATGGCGCTGGAAATAATGACGCCAGTGCTGCAACGGGAGCACGATTCGGAACGAGCGAAAGCGCGGAAATGAGGCCAGCGCTGTAAAGGGGGCACGATTCGGAACGATCGGTAGCCCGAAAATGAGGCCAGCGCTTCAACGAGAGCAGCTTTTTGACAATAAAACTCAGCGCGGAAGTGCGGAAATGAGGACGCGTAACCTGACATAGCATGGCGTGGCGACGCCCCAAAGTGGGGAGAGGGGGCTTCCGCGGCCCCAAAATCAACGAATCGACACCGAACGTGTAATCACTTCCGATGGTTTCTCCCGGAAATGACAAAGGCCCAGGGTTCTCTTTTAGCCCCTGGAAAGGGCAGAGGCCCAGGGTTCTCTTTTAGATTCTTTCAGTGGCGGAATTGAATTTCGAGGATGTCCCAAGCGATACGCTTTTTTTCCTTTTAATCATGATCGATAAATCGCAGGGTGCGGGACACATTTTGGTTTGGGGCACGAATATGTTTGTTTTTACGTGTGGTTCCATAGATTGGCCCTCTCGAGGGGCACGAATCCGTATGTTTTTGTCCTATAGCTTGGCTCTCTCCAGGGCGCCCCACGAGGGCCCAGGTCACCCAGAGGGGTATCTAACATGATTGTCCCGAGCTGGAACCACGTGTTTTTAAGCGTCCAGGCCACCCAGTGGGGTATCCAACATCACTGTCCCGAATTAGAGCGACATGTTTTTACGTGCCCAGGCCACCCAGGGGGGTATCTAACATGATTGTCCCGAGCAAGGACCACGTGTTTTAACGTGTCCAGGCTACTCAAGGTGTATTTAATATGGTTGTCCCGAGTTGGCAGCACGTGTTTTACGTGTCCAGGCCACTCAGAGGGGTATCCAACATGGTAGCTGGCACCACGTGTTTTTACATGTCCAGGCCACCCAAAGGAGTCTCTAACATGGTTGTCCCGATCAAGGACCACGTGCTTTGACGTGTCCAGGCCACCCAGGGGTGTATATAACATGGTTGCCTAGAGCTGGATCCACATGTTTTTACATGTCCAGGCCACCCAATGGGTATCCAACATGATTGTCCCGAACTGGAACCATGTGGTTTTACGTGTCCAGGCGGGCCCAACGCCGAATTATCAGGAAACGCACGGTAGGGCGAAAAGCGCTACCCGAACACATATCCCAATACAGAAAAATAATGTGTTCTTGCTCTGGACAGGGGGTGGCGCTTTGGGGGCCTCTCCAGGGAAGACATTGCGAGGATGTCTCGAGCGGGAGCGCGAATTCAGCGTATCCAAGCCAGGCAGGGGGGTATCTAGCATGGTTGTCCCGAGCTGGAACCGCATGTTTTTACATGTCCAGGCCACCCGAGGAGATATCTAGCGTGGTTGTCCCGAGCTGGAACCACGTGTTTTTACGCGTCCAGGCCACCCAAGGGGATATCTAACATAATTGTCCCGAGCTTGAGCCACGTGATGTTACGTGTCCAGGCCATCCACAGGGGTACCTAATCTGATTGCGTGGTTTTTACGTGTCCATACCACCCAGGGGGGTATCTGATAACACGATTGTTTTAGGGAGCGCGGCCCTGAGAGCGCGGACGCAGCGTAGTTTACGAGGGATCGTGGCCCAGGGAGAGCGGACGCAACATAACTTACGAGGGATCGCGGCTTTGGGAGCGCGGACGCAGTTTCATTTACACGTCGGTCGGAAGAAGTAGGTAAAAACATAAAGTAGGAAGGCGGACAAAGTGGATTGGGTCCAGGCCCTCCCAGAGAACAACAAAACATAGCAAAATCATGTCGATTCTTGAAGTAGGAAGGCGCTTGAAGTAGACTGGGATCTGGGAATTCACAAATACCTACTTTCAACGACCGGCGTGTACTATGGATCGTGGCCCTGGGAGCGCGGGCGCAGCGTCATTTGCTATGGAGCGCGGCCGTGGGGGGGCGAACACGGCGTAGTTTATCGTGGATCGTGGCCCAGGGAGAGCGTCCACGCAGCATCATCTGCGAGGGATCGGGGCCCATGGAGAGCGCGGACGCCACGGAGTTTTCGAGGCATCGTGGCCCATGGAGAGCGAGAGCGGGCGCAGCGTACTTCATGAGGGATCGTGGCCCTGGGAGCGCGGACGCAGCGTCATTTGCGAGGGGTCCTGGCCCTGGGTCAAGGACGTCCCGTGGCACGTTCCCTGACGCGTTCCCTGGCGCGTTCCCTGGCGCGTTCCCTGGCACGTTCCCTGGCACGTCCCGTGGCGCGTCCCGTGGCGAGTCCCCCTGGCAAGTCGCGCGGCGCGTCCCCTGGCACGTCCCATGGCACGCCCATTGGCACGTTCCGTAGCGCGTCCCTTGGCACGTCCCGCGGTGCGTCTCTATGGCACGTCCCCTGGCCGTTCCGAGGCGCGCCCCCCCTGGCATGTCCCCGTTAGCTCTGGGGCAGCTACTATGTGCTTAGGTAGCTCGAGCTCAAGATCCAGATCAGTTCGATCAGGACTCGGATGCCAAGGACGACTCAGTCCTCAGTCCGACTCTCTCCACAACGCTACACAATCGCGGCATGGCACATCACAATTCAACACGGCGTAGCACAGCACAGCCCTTGGCACATCAAGATCGATACGCTCAACATTGCAATTGCCCGTCGCCCAATCAGGTGTCTTGAACCCGTTGCCATGCTTCACATTTCTATATTCCTTTCCGGGTTCGTTTCCCTGGCCTGGTGGGGATGGGCATCGGATAAACCAATGCTGAGTCAGTCACCATTGGGCAAGCTGCAAGGGCAGGCGAGCCCAGAATCGAATCGATAAGGCGGATCGGCGATCGAAATAAATCGGATCGGCGGAAATCGGCAACCGAGTCGGGAGAAGTCGAATCGGCGGATGTCGGCAGGCTAGGAAGCCTCCATTGAGAAATCGGAATCCAAACCGGAATCCAAAGCCGAATCGAATCGTAATCGGAGGCCATCGCAGTCGAATCGAGTCGAACTGGAGACTCCAGGCATCGAAACGAGCCCTGCAAGGCGGCGGCGCGTCTGGCGTCAGCGGCGGGCCTGGCCAGACCTTGCACGTGCCGCGTCGGCCGCAGGGGTGCGGCCCGCGTGGCGCCCTGCGCGGGTGCGGCCCCTGCCCAGGGCCTCCGCCGGGCGAACATTTTTTTCTCCGCGCGCCAGGCGTTGCGTTCATGAGCACGTTGATCCCGCCCAAAGCCCTACTGAAAGACAAAGCCAGGACGAAGGTGAAATCCGGCGAGGATAAACCGAGAATCTCTGAGACCCGAAGGCTCTGGAGGATGACTCGGGCGCCGAAACCTTCTCCGAGCGTTGCGGGACGCTCTGCCAACGTTCCGGAACGCGCTGGAATGGATTTATCCTCGTCCTAGCCCCGTCCGATCTGGCGACGGCTCCATGGCTGATGTGGTATATCAGCGTTGCTGAAGACGGCCAAGGGAATGAGCAAAAATGGGCATAACAACATGCATGCCCAAAAATAAAAAACAAAGTTGTGGCGATGCCATCAATAAGCAAGCGCACACACGAACAACACATGAAGAGTCAGACTGGAAGAACGGGAAAACCACCCCCCGCTTCGGGAGACCCCCGCTACCAACCCATACCGAACTGGCCGCCAGATGAAGAGTGCAAACAGACGGTCTTTCACTTCGGGATCGCAACGGGGAACACTACACCGCGGGAGCAGGACGGCGAGGTATTGAGCGTTCGATGAAGAGCTCGCGCAACAGCATCGGCGGGAGCAAGAGCTTGCCGTCGGAGCCAAGGCACCAGCCCCCTCGGGCCCCAGTGGATGTTTGGCATGACTTGGTGTGGCTGGGCAGCAAGGGCGATGGTGGAGAGCCCCGCTCCATCCCGCTCCAATGATCGAAAGACAGCAGGTAAAGAAAGCAGCTGGAGAGCTCACTCGGGCTTGGCCTCGTGGCCTTCGGCCACAAAGCTGTAGCAGTTGATCGGGCTGGGGTTGTTTGGCTCGCGGCTGCAGCGGCACCCTATCCAGGCGTCCACCATGTTGAAGCCGTGCTCTTGGATGTCGTGGGGGAACCACTCGAGGAAGCGCCTGCTGACCATGTAGGCGGCGGCCCCAGCGACCCCCCTTGTTGGCGGCGCGCAAAACGGAGTGGAGCGCAGGAGGGCAGCCCGCTGAGAACGCAGAGGGCTCCTCGAAAGGGGCCATGGTGCTTCTGGGAAGACTTTGACGAAGGCAAAAAGGCGTGCCGAGACGCCCCCGACCCTCTCGGAAGACCACCCTCGCGCCACCCCCTCCCGTCGAGGGGCGTCAGGCATCCACACTGCACCGCACGAAGAACACTTCTTCCCCAGAGGCCAAAGATCTGCTGCTGCTGCCCGCTCGAGGTTCGGGGCTCGAAGATTGAGGCTCTGTGAAGTCTTGGGCTCGGGTGCGCCGAAGAGGGCGGCCAAGAGGAATGGGGTTCGCGAATCATGGGCCGAGGCATGTGGGCGGACAAGGGGGGCCATTGAGCATGTTGAAGACGAAGAAGAAGACGAAGAAAAACACAAACAATAGTAACAATATTAAGAAGACGAAGAAGAAGAAAAAGAAAAATAATAAGATAAAGACGAAGAGGGCTGGGAGATCTCATGGCCCCGGCCTTGAATATGATAGCCCCTGTCCTCACCCCCCTCGGGCCTCCGGCGGCCCTCGTGGGACGACACGGGCACCGCCCGAGAGCCCTCTTGACGAGGCGCAGCTGCTGGCAACCGCCCCGAGGCAAGAAAACCTGTCGGAAGTATCGTTAGATTCGTGGGCGAACGGGCCCAAGTAAATCATGGTGTCCGAACTGCGCCCGAATGGTCCCCGAACAGGATGCGTGATTTGTCATTGATCATGCGGTGTTGCGTTGCGTTTTCGCGCCGCTGCTTCAGTCTGCGAGAGCAGCATTGCGCGCGGCTCCTAATCTTGCGGCGGGGGCATCTAATAGATGCCCCCGCCGCGCCCCGATGGATGCCTGGCATGAATGAAAGAAACGAGTCCCGAGGGAAACGGGTCCTGGACCCCGAGGACCTTCCCTGGGCCTCCTCTTCGTCCTCGGTCGTTTCTCGGCAGTCCCGCGGCCCGGGGAGGGCCACCAGGATTCCAAAGAAGCGGCGAAAAAACACGTACTCGTCGGTCGGAAGAAGTAGGTAAAAACATGAAGTAGGAAGGCGGACAAAGTGGATTGGGTCCAGCCCCGCCCAGAGAACAACGAAACACAGCAAAATCATGCCGATTCTTGAAGTAGGAAGGCGCTTGAAGTAGATTGGGATCCGGGAATCCAAAAATACATACTTTCAGCGACCGGCGTGTGTCCGCTTCCCTCAGGACACGCTTCCCTCAGGGCCCGTTTCTGTCATGGCGAGATGGGCTGCCCCCCCCAGCCCTCACTTCGGATCCGCCGTACTTGGGCAATAATTTAGGTGAGGCGGGAATTTCTGCTCTACTCTTCACGCTCCTTGGATGCCGATGTCCGCCCTACCCTGCCGTCGCTGCTTCCGCCAAGCCTTTGCGGAAATAACCGCCCTACTTTCCGAGGCGGAAACCTCCGCCCTACTTTTTCGAATCGTTTGAAGTGCATTTCGACACAATCGCAAGTCGGGGAATCGACCAGGGAGTACGGCGGATCCGAAGTCAGGATCCTCCCCCCCCCCAAAAAAGCAACAACTCGGGGCCCGCTTCCCTCACGGCGAGATGGGCTGCCTCCCCCCGCACCCCCCTCCCAACGGGGGCTTCTGGGTCACCCAACTTCGCGCATCGCACCTCGCGATCATCTTCGCGCGCTCGAGCTCGCGCCCTCGCGCCGCCCCCTTGGAGAAAGGAGGCCGCTCTGGCCCAGACCGCGACGCGCGACGCGCGGCTATCTCCGCGCACCCGCGGGTGACCTAATTCACAGCGAGGCCCTGGCTGGCGCAGGCGCCGTGCGCGCGCTGCGGTAGCGAGGCCGCCAGCCGCCGCCGCACGCCGTCGTCGGGCGCCCATCGGAGGCCCGATGATCGTCGACGACGGCGACGGCGACGGCGACGAAGGCGACGAGGACGACGACGACGACGGCGACGGCGACGGCGACGACGACGACGGCGACGACGACGGCGACACCGTGGAAAGGCCACGATGCACGACGACGGCACCGTGGAACGACCTCAACCCGGGGGTTTTTGCGCGCCGCCGGCCTGCCCTTCCACGGGAGCAGGCGGTACGCCCGGCGTCCGCCGGCGCTGGCCGGCCGCACCACGGCCACCGGGGCCGCGCCGGGCTCGGCCCCGAACTCGCCCTTGTCCAGGGCGATGAGGTGCCAGCCCTTTGGGTTCGAAGGTGTCTGGGGAGGAGGAGGAGGAGGAGGAGGAGGAGGAGGAGGAGGTCCTCCTCCTTGCATTGAGAGGATCCAGGAGGCCTCCTCCCCTCTCCTCCTCCTCCTCCTCCTCCTCCTCCTCCTCCTCCTCAGGGTCCTCCTCCTCCTCCTCCTCCTCCCCCGGCTCCTTCTAGGAGGTGGATGAAGAGGAGAACTCCTCCTCCGCCGTGGGGGCTCCTGGCCTTGGACGCGGCCGCCCAGCGACGACGACGACGACGACGAAGAAGCAAATACGACCTGGAATCGGCGACAGGTCACCGACAGATCGGCGATGGGCCCCCGACTGAGAATCCGCCCGTTCCTGGGCGGGCTCGGCGATCAGTGGGCCTCTCCCCCTGAGCCTAATTACCTCCCCCGAACGCGGCCCCGGACCTCGGGGGCCCTCGACGGCAGGGAAGCCACGAGGTCCGCGAAGTCGCTGGCGTTGCCGCCGATGCCAGGAGGAAGAAGAATCTGCACAGGCACACGGCGAGACCTAGGACAAAAGAACATCCTTCAAGAACACGAGACCCTCCGCCGGCCAAACTGAAGGACGTTCGTCGAGGGCACCCTCCCCCGGGATGCACAAGAGCACCCATCAAACACGAAGAATAAAAAGGGTTGCCTCCCCGAGCCGACCTCAATGTTATACCTCGGAGAGAGCGCGCCCACAGCGCCGGAGCAAAGGGGGGGGTCCCCCCTTAGCTACCCCCCCCCCTCCCTTCCACCTCCCCTGCTGGAAGGCCCCCCCCCCTCCCTCCCCCCCATTTTCGCCTCCCCTCTGAAGCTGCCCCCCCCCCCTCCCCCCCTTGTCGCTACTCCGAAGCTACCCCCCTCCCCCCCTTTCCAAAAGGAGGAGGCTTAGCTACCCCCCCCCCCCTCCCCTCGACACCCCTCTGCCGGAAGCTACCCACCCGCTCCCCCCCTTTGATTCCAAAGAGGGGGGGGGCTTAGCAGCCCCCCCCCTCCCCCCTTTCGGCACCCGCGAAGCTCCCCCCCTCCCCCCCTTACGAAAGGAACATGGGCTTAGCTACCCCCCCCATCACCTTGACCACCCTCTGCCGGAAGCTACCCTTCCCCTTCCCCCCTGCAGCCCCCCGCCCCCCCCTTTCAGCACCCAGGAAGCTCCCTCCCCCCGTCCCCCCCTTAAGGGGGACTTAGCTGCGGGAAGCCCCCCCCCCTTCCCTTTTTTTTTCTCCCCCTCCCCTCCCCCCTTTCCAAAAGGGAAGGGGCGGCTTAGATACCACCCCCCTCCCTTGAACTCCCCCTGCCGGACGATCCTCCTCCGGGGCCGTCGTCGTCCTCGTCGTCGTTGTCGCCGCCGTCGCCGTCATTGTCGCCGTCTTCGATCCCGTCTTCGTATTACCTCGTCGTGGTCGTCACGACGAGGACGAGGTCATGCGAAGACGGCGACGGACGACGGACGACGCGCGACCGACGACCGACGATGACGACCCAGGGTCAGAGGAAACGAGATTACGACCCAGGGGCTGAGAAAACAAGGAAACGAAGAAGGGTCCGAGAAAACGAGACCACGGCCCAGGGGCCGAGAAAATGAGAAAACGAGAAAACGAACCAGGGTCCAACAAAAACGAACCTGGGTCCGAGAAAACGAGACCACGATCCAGGGGCTGAGAAAACGCTAAAACGAACCAGGGTCCAATAAAACGAGACCACGACCCAGGGGTCGACAAAAAGAGACAACGAGAAAACAAACCAGTGCCCGAGAAAACGAAACCACGACTCAAGGGCCGAGAAAACGAGATAACGAGAAAACGAACCAGGGCCCGAGAAAGCGAGAACACGACCCTAGGGCCGAGAAAACGAAAGAACTAGAAAACGAACCAGGGCCCAAGAAAACAAAACAAAAACCCAGAAGCCGAGAAAACGAGACAATGAACCAGGGTCCGCGAAAACGACACAACGACCCAGGAGCCGAGAACACGAGAAAACAACACAACAAACCAAGGTCCGAGGAAACGAGACCACGACGCAGGCCGAAAAAACGCTGATATCGGAACTAGAAAACGAGACCACGACCCAGGGGGCGAGAAAACGAGAAAACGATAAAAGGAATCACGGCCTGAGAAAAACGAGACTACGAACCAGGGGCCGAGAAAACGCGGAAACGAGAAAACAGACCAGCGTTCGAGAATACGAAACCACAGCACGGGGGCCGAGAAAACTAGAAGACGAGAAAACTAACCAGGGCCAGAGAAAACTGGACCACGATCCAGGAGATGAGAAAACAAGACACGAGAACACGAACCATGGTCAGAGAAAATTGGACGACGACACAGGGGCAGAGAAAACGAGAAAACGAACCAGGGTCAGAGAAAACGAGACCACGACCCAGGGGCAGAGAAAACGAGAAAACGAAACAGGGCCCGAGAAAACCAAACCACGACCAAGGGGCAGAGGTAACGAGAAAACGAACCAGCGCCCGAGAAAGCGAGACAACGACCCAGGAACCAAGAAAACGAGAAACGAGAAAACGAAACGGGGTCCGAGAAAAGGAGACCACGATTAAGGGGCAGAGAAAACGCGACAACGATAAAACAAACCAGAGTCCGAGAAAACTAAATCAAGATCCAGGGGACGAGAACACAAGAAAACGAGAAAACGAACCAGGGTCCGAGAAAACAATACCACGACCCAGGGGACGATAAAATTACTCCGACGGAAGAACCCCGCATAAGAATCCTCTGGGCGAATCTGGAAAAAGCCATCACCGTCGTCCTCGTGGTTGGTGAGGCGTCCTGGTTGTCTCTTCTGCGTATATTTCCTCTCGCCTTGGCGCGGGCCCCCCTTCCACTCCTTACGTTGTCCCCATCCTCGCCCCCCTGTTTGTTCCGCGCCCCGCCACCTCCTCCCCTTCCTGTTGCATGAGCGCGCATGTCGATGTTCCTCGGCGCCGTCGCCGCCACGGCCAGCACAGGCGCGTTCTCTACTGGTCACGTCGCGCAGCCGTTGGGACAACCCCGCGGGCCAGGCTGTCGGGACAACCCCGCGAGCCGCTGGCGCGCAAGACCAAGCCGTTGGGACAACCCCGCGGGCTTCGAGCGAGGCGCAGCCGCGCTCAGGCGGAAGGCAGCACGAAGCCCAGCTCTGCCGCGAGCTGCTTCGCCTCCGCCCTGGACAAAACCGCTCTCTTGTCGAACTCCAGGAGCGCCTTCCGCAGGGACGCCGGCGGCCCGCACTCCAGGAACTCTCGCGGCGGCGGCCGCAGGATCAGCATGTTCCGCATGCACGTGGCGCGGGAGAACATGACGTAGAGGTGCAGCCACCACTGCTCGTCCGACATGCCCGTGCGGCCAGCGTCCTCGTCTCTCGCGCAGTCGATGGTGACGCCCTTGCGCAGCGTCTGGCCCTGCGACAGCGTGGAGGTCAGGTAGGACGCGTGCGTCAGGGTGAACCCCGAGCGGCGCACGCTGTGCGCCCCCGAGCTCTGCCATGTGAACTCCCTTTCGCTGGGCCTGAACATCAGCAAGCTCCGCGCCCGCGCCTCGATCTCCCGCCTGACATTGACAGGGTTCCGATGACCCGCTCGGATTACCAACATGATCTGCGGGCCCCATAGGGAGGGAGCTCCCGCCTGAGACTTCCTCCAATTCACTCACAGACGAGGCTCCCGCCTGAGACTTCCTCCAAATTCAGGCTTGACGAGCCCAAAAGTGACGACAGTTACAGGGTTCCGATGACCCGCTCGGATTACCAACATGATCTGCGGGCCCCATAGGGAGGGGGCTCCCGCCTGAGCCTTCCTCAGAATTCACTCACAGACGAGAATCCCGCCTGAGACTTCCTCCAAATTCAGGCTTGAGGAGCCCAAAAGTGACGACAGTTACAGGATCCCGATGACCCGCTCGGATTACCAACATGATCTGCGGGCCCCATAGGGAGGGAGCTCCCGCCTGAGACTTCCTCCCAATTCACTCACAGACGAGGCTCCCGCCTGAGACTTCCTCCAAATTCAGGCTTGAGGAGCCCAAAAGTGACGACAGTTACAGGATTCCGATGACCCGCTCGGATTACCAACATGATCTGCGGGCCCCATAGGGAGGGAGCTCCCGCCTGAGACTTCCTCCCAATTCACTCACAGACGAGGCTCCCGCCTGAGACTTCCTCCATTTTCAGGCCTGGGGAGCTCAAAAGTGACGACAGTTACAGGATTCCGATGACCCGCTCGGATTACCAACATGATCTGCGGGCCCCATAGGGAGGGGGCTCCCGCCTGAGACTTCCTCACAATTTACTCAACGATGATGAGGATGAGGATGATGAGTGGTGGTGAAGATGAGTGGTGAAGAGGATGATGATTGATTGTGAGTGGTGGTGGCGATGATGATGTTTGAATGAGGATGATGCCGATGCCGATGATGATGATGATGATGTTCGTGAGCGTGTGAGAGAGTGCGAGTGATGATGATGATGAGTATGTGAGTGACTAAGCATGTGAGAGAGCATCATCGATGATGCTGATGAGGTTGATGATGAGAGAGTGTGAGTGAGTGTGAGTGTGTGTGTGTGTTCCTGTTCCTGCGCGGGGTGTCCAGAGAAAAAAACAACCCCACTTTGGATGTGGGGAATAATACCACTACTACTACTACTACTACTACTACTACTACTACTACGACTACTACTACTACTACTACGATTACTACTACTACCACTACTACTACCACTACTACTACCTACTACTACTACTACTACTACTACTACTACTACTACTACTACTATGAGTACGACCACTACTACTACTACTACTACTACTACTACTACTACTACTACTACTACTACTACTACTACGAATACTACGAATACTACGAATACTAATATTACTACTCTTACCACAATAGCGACTACTACCACTACTACTACTACTACTACTACTACTACTACTACTACTACTACTACTACTACTACTACTACTACTACTACTACGCCTACGACTAATAATAATAACAAAAAGCGACGACAATTACAGGTTTCCGATGACCCGCCTCGGATTGGTAAGATGATCTGCGGGCCCCATAGAGAGAGGCTCCCGCCTGAGACTTCCTCGCAATTCACTCACAGACAACGCTCCCGCCTGATACTTCCTCCAAATTCACGCCCCAGGAGCCCAAAAGTGACGACAGTTACAGGATCCCAATGACCCGCCTCGGATTAGTAAGATGATCTGCGGGCCCCATAGGGAGAGGCTCCCGCCTGAGACTTCCTCGCAATTCACTCACAGACGACGCTCCCGCCTGATACTTCCTCCAAATTCACGCCCCGGGAGCCCAAAAGTCACGACAGTTACAGGATCCCGATGACCCGCCTCGGATTAGTAAGATGATCTGCGGGCCCCATAGGGAGAAGCTCCCGCCTGAGACTTCCTCGCAATTCACTCACAGACGAGGCTCCCGCTAGATACTTCCTCCAGATTCACGCCCCAGGAGCCCAAAAGTGACGACAGTTACAGGATCCCGATGACCCGCCTCGGATTAGTAAGATGATCTGCGGGCCCCATAGGGAGAGGCTCCCGCCTGAGACTTCCTCGCAATTCACTCACAGACGACGCTCCCGCCTGATACTTCCTCCAAATTCACGCCCCAGGAGCCCAAAAGTGACGACAGTTACAGGATCCCGAGGACCCGCCTCGGATTAGTAAGATGATATGCGGGCCCCATAGGGAGAGGCTCCCGCCTGAGACTTCCTCGCAATTCACTCACAGACGGCGCTCCCGCTTGATACTCGAGTGAGTGACGGACTGACTGAGTGATGTGTGACGCCAACGGATGAGATCCTCATGTGATGATCATGATGAGTGAGTGAGTGAGTGAGTGAGTGAGCGATCGAGTGGTGTATGGGTAAGTGTGATGGTGCTGAGGAGGAGAGGCGTGGGTCATGATGATGATGACTGATGATGATGATGGCGAGAAAGAGGAAGAGAGAGAGAGAGAGAGGTGTGAGATCCTGCGCGGGGGGTGTGCAGAGAAAACAAGAACCCCACTTTGGATGTGGGGAACAAGAACCCCACTTTGGATGTGGGGAATAATTACTACTACTACTACTACTACGACTAACTACTACTACTACGATTACTACTACTACTACTACTACTACTACTACTACTACTACTACTACTACTACTACTACTACTACTACTACTACTACTACTACTATGACTACTACTACTACTACTACTACTACTACCACTACTACTACTACTACACTACTACTACTACTACTACTACTACTACTACTACTACTACTACTACTACTACTACTACTACTACTACTACTAGCTACTACTACTACTACTACTACTACTACTACTACTACTACTACTACTACTACTACTACTACTACTGCCTACTACTACGCCTACGACTACTACTAGTAATAATAACAAAAAGCGACGACAGTTACAGGTTTCCGATGACCCGCCTCGGATTGGTAAGATGATCTGCGGGCCCCATAGAGAGAGGCTCCCGCCTGAGACTTCCTCGCAATTCACTCACAGACAACGCTCCCGCTTGATACTTCCTCCAAGTTCACGCCCCAGGAGCCCAAAAGTGACGACAGTTACAGGATCCTAATGACCCGCCTCGGATTAGTAAGATGATCTGCGGGCCCCATAGGGAGAGGCTCCCGCCTGAGACTTCCTCGCAATTCACTCACAGACGACGCTCCCGCCTGATACTTCCTCCAAATTCACGCCCCGGGAGATGATCTGCGGGCCCCATAGGGAGAAGCTCCCGCCTGAGACTTCCTCGCAATTCACTCACAGACAACGCTCCCGCCTGATACTTCCTCCAGATTCACGCCCCAGGAGCCCAAAAGTGACGACAGTTACAGGATCCCGATGATCCGCCTCGGATTAGTAAGATGATCTGCGGGCCCCATAGGGAGAGGCTCCCGCCTGAGACTTCCTCGCAATTCACTCACAGACGACGCTCCCGCCTGATACTTCCTCCAAATTCACGCCCCAGGAGCCCAAAAGTGACGACAGTTACAGGATCCCGATGACCCGCCTCGGATTAGTAAGATGATCTGCGGGCCCCATAGGGAGAGGCTCCCGCCTGAGACTTCCTCGCAATTCACTCACAGACGACGCTCCCGCTTGATACTCGAGTGAGTGACGGACTGACTGAGTGATGTGTGACGCCAACGGATGATATCCTCATGTGATGATCATGATGAGTGAGTGAGTGAGTGAGTGAGTGAGCGATCGAGTGGTGTATGGGTAAGTGTGATGGTGCTGAGGAGGAGAGGCGTGGGTCATGATGATGATGACTGATGATGATGATGGCGAGAAAGAGGAAGAGAGAGAGAGAGGGTGTGAGATCCTGCGCGGGGGGTGTGCAGAGAAAACAAGAACCCCACTTTGGATGTGGGGAACAAGAACACAAGACAACGAATCATGGTCCGAGAAAACGAGACCACGACCCAGAGGCCGAGAAAACGAGAAAACAAGACAAAGAACCAGGGGCCGAGAAAACGAGACAAAAACCCAAGGGCCGACAAAACGAGACAACGAATTGGGGCAAGAGAAACCGAGACCACGACCCAGGAGCAGAGGCAACGAGAAAACAAGACAACCAACCAGCGCCCGAGAAAACGAGACCACGACCCAGGGGCCGAGACAACGACAAAACAAACCAAGGTCAGAGAAAACAAAACCACAATCCAGGGCCGAGAAACGGAGAACACGAGAAACCGAACCAAGGTCCGAGAAAACGGGACCACGATCCAGGGGCCGAGAAAATAAACAACGAACCAGGGTCAGAGAAAACGAGACCACTACCCACGGGCCGAGAGCACGAGAAAACGAGACAACTAATAAGGGTCCGAGGAAAAATGGCACCACAACCCAGGGGCCGAGAAAACAAGGAAACGAGATCACGAACCAAGTCCCGAAAAAACAGCACAAACAACAAAAGCCGAGAAAACGAGAAAACGAAACAACGAACCAGGGTCCGAGAACACGAGACCACGACACAGGGGCCGAGAATACGAGAAAACGAAAAACTGACCAAAGTCCGAGCAAACGAGACCACGACCCAAGGGCACAGAAAATGCGAAAACGAACCAGGGTCAGAGAAAACACGACCACGACCCAAGGGCCGAGATCACCAGAAAATGAGAAAACGAGTCAGGGCCCGAGTAAACGAGATTACGAACCAGGGGCCGAGAAAACAAGAAAACAAAAAAACAACCAGGGTCCGAGAAAACGAGACCACGACCCAGGAGCCAGGACAACAAAAAACGAGAAAACGAACCAGGCTCCGAGCAAACGAGACCACGACCCAGGGGCCGAGGAAATGAGAAAACGCGAAAACGACCCACGACCCAGGAGCCGAGAAAACGAGAAAACGAACCAGGGTCCGAGGAAACCACGACCCAAGGGCCGAGATCACCAGAAAACGCTTGCCTCGAGAAAACGAGACCACGACCCAGGAGCCGAGAGAACGAGGAACCGAGAAAACAAAGCAGGCTCAGAGAAAACGAGACCACAACCCGGGGGCCGAGACAACGAGAACACGAGAATACTAACCAGCGTCCGAGAAAACAAAACCACGACCCAGGGGGTAAGAAAATGAGGAAACGAGAAAACGAAGCAGGGTCAGAGAAAACTGGACCACGACCCAGGCACCGAGAAAACGAGAAAACGAGAACACGAACCAGGGTCGGAGAAAACGAGACCGGGACCCAGGAGCCGAAAACACGCGTTAACAAGAAAACGAACCAGGGGCCGAGAAAACGAGAAAACGATAAAAGGAATCAGGACCCGAGAGAACGAGGCTACGAACCAGGGGTCGGGAAAACTAGAAAACAAGGAAACGAACCAGGGGTCGACGTTATTCTCCAATGCGTTCTCTAGCGCTGCGGTGCGCACCTGTCGTCAGGGATTCCGCCACTTTGCCAGAGCCCGGGAAGGGAGGGGGGGGGGGAGGTAGCTCCAGAAGCCCCCCCCCGTTGCAAAGGAGGGGGGAGGGGTGTAGCTTGAAGCCGCACCCCCCCCCGTGCCCAGACCAACAAAGGAGGGGGGGGTAGCTTCCGAAGCCCCCCCCTAGATGAAAGGGAAGACCGGCTCCCTTCTGCTCCGAGTAATGGGGAAGGGGGGGATAGCTTCGATGCCCCCCTCCCTTTAGCCAGGGCCCCCCCCTCCCCCCTAGCTTTAGAAAAGCTTTACAGTAGGGGAGGGGGGGGGGGGGTAGCTTCGGAAGCCCCCATTCTTTTGGCAAGGGAAAGGAGGAGGGGGGGGGGGGAGGTAGCTTGAAGCTGTGCCCCCCCTTTCCGCGTTCCTGGCGCTGCGGGCGCGCTCTTTCGTGCCTCGGTCCTACAAGAACCCTTCGGAGATCCGCGCGGACTCCTCGGATCGGCGCCGGGAGCCCCGCCCGGGCGCGCGGAGCGCGCCGGTGGCGGCGCCGGAGGCGCCGCCTGGTGTACAGCGCCGACACCCGGATGTCGGAGTTCGTGTCGATGCAAAGGGCTCCCAATCTTCGCGCTTCCGCGCTGCGCGATAGCGCGAGTGCGAATAACTTCAGCGCTCTTCTCGCGCCGCTCCAGGGGAGAGAAGAGGAAGACGAGGAGAATCGGAGCCCGACGCTGCGAAGCGCGAATAAACTTTTGTTTATTTTTTTTTTTTTTTTTTGTTTTTGTTTTTTTCGTTTTTTTTTTTGTTTTCGCGCCCTCGAGGGCGCCCTTGAAGTCCGCCGAGCTCGTGTCGATTGTTCATTCCACTCTCCACCGTACTTTGCGCTCCCTCCCCCTCCCTTCAGATGCGCCAGCTCTGCACGCAGGACGGGAACCCGTCGCTCTCGAAGACGATCAGATTCTGGACCCCGCGATGCAGCGCCTCCATCCACATCGAGAAGGCCGCGGGCCCCCTGCTTTTACCCGAGGGCGGCATGGGCGTGCAGTGGCCAAGGCCTGGTTTGATTTTCACATGTGTGCGTGGGGGGGTGACAGGGAGAGTTCCGGGGCTCCAGGCACAGAGGTATAGATCACCGGGGGCCTTGGGAAGCCTAGGCCCTACCCAAGGCCCTAGGCTTCCCAAGGGTAGGCCCTACCCAAGGCCCTAGGCTTCCCAAGGGTAGGCCCTACCCAAGGCCCTAGGCTTCCCAAGGGTAGGCCCTACCCAAGGCCCTAGGCTTCCCAAGGGTAGGCCCTACCCAAGGCCCTAGGCTTCCCAAGGGTAGGCCCTACCCAAGGCCCTAGGCTTCCCAAGGGTAGGCCCTACCCAAGGCCCTAGGCTTCCCAAGGGTAGGCCCTACCCGAGGCCCTAGGCTTCCCAAGGGTAGGCCCTACCCAAGGCCCTAGGCTTCCCAAGGGGTAGGCCCTACCCAAGGCCCTAGGCTTCCCAAGGGGTAGCCCTACCCAAGGCCCTAGCCCCAGGGTAGCCCTAGGGGTAGGCCCTAGGGGTAACCCTTTATTGCGGATTACAATCTGATTCCTTTGGTCGGGCGGGCGGGCGGGACATTAATAGCATTGGTTGCCTTGGTGGCGGATTACATATATTGATTACCTGTGTGGTGGATTATCAACTGATTACTCTTGTCGGGCGGGCGGGCGGGACACTAAAGGCATTGATTGCATGTGTGGCGGGTGGCACACTGATTCTTATTGTGATCGGTTGACCGAGTCGTTGGTATCTGTTTCTTCTGTGGCAGATTACACATGGATTCCTTTTGTCGGGCGGGCGGGCGGGACATTAAAGGCAATGATTGCTTGTGTGGTGAATTATAAATGTATTCCCTTTGGCAGCGGATTAGAAATTTATTCCTTTGGTCGGGCGGGCGGGCGGGACATTAAATGCATTGATTGCTTTGGTGGCGGATTACAAAGTGATTCCGTTTGGCAGCGGATTACAAGTTGATTACTATCGCGGCGGATTACAAGCCGATTCCTTTCGTCGGGCGGGCGGGCGGGACATTAAAGGCATTGCTTGCTTGTTGTGCGGGATAGCACGGGCGGGACATTAAAAGCATTGGTTGCTTTCGTGGCGGATTACAAAGTGATTATATTTGGCAGCGGATTGCAAGTTGATTACTATTATGGCGGATTGCGAGCTGATTCCTTTTGTCGGGCGGGCGGGCGGGACATTAAAGGCATTGCTTGCTTGTGTGGCGGATAACACATACTGAAGGCCCTTAAGCTCCAAGGATAGGGCCCTACTGGGACACCCTAAGGTGGTTATTAGCCCCTAGGGGTAGACCCTAGGGGTAGACCCTAGGGTAGCCCTAAGGTAGCCCTAGGGGTAGGCCCTAGGGGTAGCCCTACGGTAGCCCTAGGGGTAGGCCCTAGGGGTAGCCCTAGGGTAGCCCTAGGGGTAGGCCCTAGGGGTAGCCCTAGGGTAGCCCTAGGGGTAGGCCCTAGGGGTAGCCCTAGGGTAGCCCTAGGGGTAGGCCCTAGGGGTAGCCCTAGGGTAGCCCTAGGAGTAGGCCCTAGGGCCTAGGGGTAGCCCTAGGGTAGCCCTTCCTTGGGTGATCTATAAGGGCACAGAGGCGCCAGCTAGTAGCCCGCCAGCGCTCTGATCGGAAAAGAGCTACGACGCAACCCTTTGAGTCCGCCTCTCAAGCTCAGAATTTGAGTTAAAACTCGAGAAGAGGAGGGAGAGGGAGAGGAGTAGAGGAGGGAGAGGAGGTGGTGGGGAGAGGAGGAGGGAGGAGGGAGAGGAGGAGGGAGGAGGGAAGGAAGAGGGCTGCAAGGGCTGGGACAATGACTCTGAGCATCGCTGCTTGGGACGCCCGCAGGCCCCCAACCAGCGCCCACAGCCGAGTCCGACCGCGGCGACGAGGAGCCCAAACAAGGGCGAGGGCAACAGCTAAACCATGGGCACGCCCACGTGCGCCTCACGGGGTCCTGCGACACTCCTGGAAACCAAGCGCAAGTTTGAATGTTGATCCACGCGCGAAACGCGGCCCACGGGGTCAGATTTTTGTGTCTGCAGTCGCCAATCGGCGCGAACATGGAAAGCTTGGGGTCCTGGGGCGCCACCACGTCGCGGGAAGAACTTGCGTTTGATTTCGAGGAGGGATGTGGGACACGCAACTTCGCGCATCGCGCCCCGCGATGCGCGACGCGCGGTCCTCTTCGTGCCCTCGCGCCCCCGCGCCGCCCCCCTGGAGAAGGGCAGCCACTCTGGCCCAGGCCGCGTCGCGCGGCGCGCTATGACGAGGAAGACGACGGGGGCCATGGCCAAGACTGCACGCCGAAATTTCGTCTCGATCTTGGCCACCGTCGATGTTGGTCAGCGTCTATGCTTATGTTGCTCCCACCGTACTTATGTTGCTCCCATCATAAGTCAATGTGTGGATCATCATCGCGAATCGGCGACGGCCGACATGGACCATGACCAAGATCGGCATCGACAGGATCACGCGGCGTCTTGGTCGTGGTCCCCGTCCTTCTTCCCTCGATGCTACTACGGCAGGTCCGCGTCGTGTCGACCCCGGCGTTGGCTCCTGACATCGCGGGGATCGTTCAAACTTGAACGATCGGCCCTTTCAAGAAGGCCAGATCGTTCAAGGATGGGCCGACTCTGGGCCACGGGCGGCGTTCATGAAGGGGCCCTGGGACACACAAATAAATACACACAAATAACAGGCTTCCCCATATTTTCCCATATTTTCTGGGCTTTTGTCTTTCCCCCCACTTCCCATATTTTCCCATATTGTCTGGGAATCGACGATTCATTGTGTCTGTGTGTTTTTTCCCTCCTGAGTTCAGCCTGAAACGGCCGCGCTGGGGGCGCCGCCGGTCGACACGACGCGAACCTGCCGCATCTTCGCGCCCCCGCGGGTGACCCGGGAAGCTCCGCGGGCACGCCCAGGCGCGCCTCGGGCGGCCCCGTGTGCACACACGCAGTGGGCCACGCCCAGGCGCGCGGGGGCCCACCCCGCGCGCCCTGCGGATGCGAACGGGCGTGGGCAGCGGAGGGGCTGTGAGGGGCAGCAGTCTGGGTGGACCTGGAGAGGGCACGCGAGAGGACGGAAGACGCTTCCGAAGGCCACGTTGCCGCAGGAACGCAGAAGGCACGGGTCGCGAAGCACAAAAACGCAAAAGCACCATTGCTTTGGAAGGGTCCATCTACTGATCAGCCCCGACTGTGGGGTGGGGGGGGGGGGGGTGGGTGGGGGGGGGGGGGGGGGGGGGGGGGCGACTCAGGGGTTTGGGGGGAAACGCCGAGCTGGCATCGGCGATACTTCGCCGAGAAATCGGTGATGGCTGTCGGATATCAATGGGCGATCGGGGGACGGCGCATGCCCCCCTGACCTGTCCTCCCCTAACGTTGCCCCCTGGTTTGGGTCAGACAAGGATGACGACGTGGGTGGACGCAGGAGATGCCCGAGGATCCCGCCAGGGCTCGCCGCCTGGCACCTGCTCAGGACTGCTGAGGGACGACGTGTCTCTTGTGGCAAGCGATGGGCACGAGAGCGCGCAACCATCTGACAGTCGACCTGGGGGAGGGCCAGGTCGAGAAATGCGGTGAGGAAGGGGGAGGGGAAAGAGGGGGAGACAGACGGGGACAGCGGAGGGAGGGAGGGAGGGAGCAGGAGGGAGCGGAGGGACGGAGCAGGAGGGAGGGAAGGAGTGGAGGCGTCAGAGCGAAACGCGAAGGTATCGTTTGGGGCCTCGATTGTTCCACGAGCGCACGCCTTCGCACGTGCATCGACCTCGGCATGCAGGTCCCCATGTGTTGTCTTGTTGTCTCATCGGTCTTACTCCACTGCAAAATCTATGGGGCTAGGGAATGTGACAAGTTCGCTGGCCGGTGGCGAAGTGTGTGTGTGTGCGCGCGTGTGTGTGTGTTTGTGTGTGTGTCGCATCTGCGTCGCCACTGGGCTGGGTGCACCTGATGTTGGGCTTCGCAATTGGCGCATGTATGATGTCCCCGTTGCTACATGGCACAATCTGTTACAATAGGGCACGAGTTCATCACAGAGATGTACGGCGCTCCAACATATATTCCCAACGGTAAAGAAGGTATATGTAACATGTAAGGCTACCAATGCCGTCGTCATCGGACAGTGGCTTCAGCTAAAAGCCTACGGCGAGATGGGTGGACATACAATCCGCTGCGAGTAATGTATGCAGAGTCGCCACGGTCTGCTATGGGACTGGATGCGTAGTCGAATCGTTCAGGCTGAAGTTGCAGCGGTGAACGTTCGGCGTGTTTCTTCAGCTCGTTGATGGCATCGCTTGAGGGAAGCCTCGCGTCTTCATTGAACGCATGAATGGGTGTCAGACCCACGCAATGAGTGGGCACTTCACATGAAGTACTCCCCGCGGGCCTTCGTATGCTTTGTGCAAATTATGCGCAGATGAACAGACTCGAGTGTGTTGGGAGGGGCGGTATGTTCAAACTGATAGGGCAGGTTGGTCTGCTGAGCTTGAGCCAAGCCGAAATCTGTCAATTGGTTATAGCTTCTCGCCGTGGCAGCGGCGTGAGCTTTGACATCTTCTCGACTCATGCAAATGCGTATCACTCAGCGGACTGCTATTCACAGCGCCATGGTGTGGGGGAGGTAGCCACGGTCGAGATGGTATATCGTACACCTGCACAGCGTGCAAGCTGGTGGTGGCTCGGGATGGCCGCACGCGCCTCGGTCCGACAGTATATGAGCGCGATCGCCCGGCTCAACGGCAGAAGGCCCAGGCGGAAGGACGAGACAGAGAGAGAGAGGGGGTAACCGGAACATGATATCAATCTCAATGACACCAATGACACGCCGACGAGGGGAACCCATAGGTCCAGGCGGAGGGACGAGAAAAAAAGAGAGAGAGAGGGAGAGGGGGGGAACCGGAAACTGATATCAATCTCAATGACACCAATGACACGCCGCCGAGGGGAACCCATCAACGTGTAATTGTTGAGGCAACCCCAAGCCTCAGGCAAAAACGAAGGACCACCAGGCTGATGGGCCGTGATACACCAATGACATGCAGCCGAGGGGAACCCATCAGCGTGTTACTGTTGAGGCAACCCCAAACCTCAGGCAAGAACGAAGGACCACCAAGCTGATGGGCCGTGATGAGGGTCCGCCGTCCGCGCGAAATCGATTCGCGCGAAAACTGCGGGCCGTTCGAAAGAAATCCGCTGGGCGCGCACGCGCGAAAAGAACCCACGGCATCCCCGAGGATGGCGGGAACCACGATTTTGGAGAGATCCAGGCCGGAAAAGCCCGAAATCGTGGTTCCCAGCTCTGGCTGGCGCCCCTGGGACCCACGGCGGCCCCGAGGATGGCGGGAACCATGATTTTGGAGAGATCCAGGCCGGAAAAGCCCGAAATCGTGGTTACCAGCTCTGGCTGGCGCCCCTGGGGCCCACGGCGGCCCCGAGGATGGCGGGAACCATGATTTTGGAGAGATCCAGGCCGGAAAAGCCCGAAATCGTGGTTCCCAGCTCTGGCTGGCGCCCCTGGGGCCCACGGCGGCCCCGAGGATGGCGGGAACCACGATTTCCACGCCGGAAAAACCCGAAATCGTGGTTCCCAGCTCTGGCTGGCGCCCCTGGGAGCCACGGCGGCCCCGAGGACGGCGGGAACCACGATTTTGGAGAGATCCAGGCCGGAAAAGCGCGAAATCGTGGTTCCCAGCTCTGGCTGGCGCCCCTGGGACCCACGGCGGCCCCGAGGATGGCGGAAACCAAGATTTTGGAGAGATCCAAGCCGGAAAAGCCCGAAATCGTGGTTCCCAGCTCTGGCTGGCGCCCCTGGGGCCCACGGCGGCCCCGAGGATGGCGGGAACCATGATTTTGGAGAGATCCAAGCCGGAAAAACCCGAAATCGTGGTTCCCAGCTCTGGCTGGCGCCCCTGGGACCCACGGCGGCCCCGAGGATGGCGGGAACCATGATTTTGGAAAGATCCAGGCCGGAAAAACCCGAAATCGTGGTTCCCAGCTCTGGCTGGCGCCCCCGGGGCCCACGGCGGCCACGAGGATGGCGGGAACCATGATTTTGGAGAGATCCAGGCCGGGAAAGCCCGAAATCGTGGTTCCCAGCTCTGGCTGGCGCTCCTGGGACCCACGGCGGCCCCGAGGATGGCGGGAACCACGGTTTTGGAGAGATCCAGGCCGGAAAAGCCCGAAATCGTGGTTACCAGCTCTGGCTGGCGCCCCTGGGACCCACGGCGGCCCCGAGGATGGCAGGACAACGATTTGGGAGAGATCCAGGCCGGAAAAGCGCGAAATCGTTGTTCCCAGCTCTGGCTGGCGCCCCTGGGACCAACGGCGGCCTCGAGGATGGCGGGAACCACGATTTTGGAGAGATCCAGGCCGGAAAACCCCGAAATCGTGGTTCCCAGCTCTGGCTGGCGCCCCTGGACCCCCTGCGGCCCCGAGGATGGGCGGGAACCACGAGCGGGGGGAGAAAGATAATTTTGGAGAGAACAAAGCCGGCAAAGCCCGAAATCGTGGTTCCCAGCTCTGGCTGGCGCCCCTGGGACCCACGGCGGCCCCGAGGATGGCGGGAACCGCGATTTTGGAGAGATCCAGGCCGGAAAAGCACGAAATCGTGGTTCCCGGCTCTGGCTGGCGCCCCTGGGGCCCACGGCGGCCCCGAGGATGGCGGGAACCACGATTTTGGAGAGATCCAGGCCGGAAAAGCCCGAAATCGTGGTTCCCAGCTCTGGCTGGCGCCCCTGGAACCCACGGCGGCCCCGAGGATGGCGGGAACCACGATTTTGGAGAGATCCAGGCCGGAAAAACCCGAAATCGTGGTTCCTGGCTCTGGCTGGCGCCCCTGGGACCCACGGCGGCCCCGAGGATGGCGGGAACCACGATTTTGGAAGTGTAAGAACCAGGACGGAAAACCCGAAATCGTGGTCCGAGCTCTGGCCAGGCGCCCCTGCAATAGGGACCCACGGCGGCCTGGAGGATGGCGGGAACCACGATTTGGAGAGATCCAGCCGAAAACGCCCGAAAATCGTGTTCCCAGCTCAGGCAGGCGCCCCTGTGACCCACTAGCTGCCCCGAGGATGGCGGGAACCCCGATTATGGAGAGATCCAGCCGGAAAAGAGCCGTAAATCGTGGTTCCCAGCACTGGCTGGCGCACCCTGGGTGTCCACGGCGGCCCCGATGATGGCGGGAACATGATTATATAGAGATCCAGAGCCGGAAAAAAGCCCGAAATCATGGTTCCCGTCACTGGCTGGCGCCCCTGGGACCACGGCGGGGCCACCGAGTGATTGCTGGCGGGAACCACGATTTTGGAGAGAAACAGAACCAGGCCGAAAAAGCCCGAAATTGTGTTTCCCCCAGCTCTGTGCTGGCCCCACTGGTAACGCCACGGCGGCCCCGCTGAAGGGCGGGAACCACGATTTTGGAGAGATCCAGGCCGGAAAAGCCCGAAATCGTGGTTCCCAGCTCTGGCTGGCGCCCCTGGGATCCACGGCGGCCCCGAGGATGGCGGGAATCACGATTTTGGAGAGATCCAGGCCGGAAAAGCCCGAAATTGTGGTTCCCAGCTCTGGCTGGCGCCCCTGGGATCCACGGCGGCCCCGAGGATGGCGGGAATCACGATTTTGGAGAGATCCAGGCCGGAAAAACCCGAAATCGTGGTTCCCAGCTCTGGCTGGCGCCCCTGGGGCCCACGGCGGCCCCGAGGATGGCGGGAACCATGATTTTGGAGAGATCCAGGCCGGGAAAGCCCGAAATCGTGGTTCCCAGCTCTGGCTGGCGCCCCTGGGGCCCACGGCGGCCCCGAGGATGGCGGGAACCACGATTTTGGAGAGATCCATGCCGGAAAAGCTCGAAATCGTGGTTCACAGCTCTGGCTGGCGCCCCTGGGGCCCACGGCGGCCCCGAGGATGGCGGGAACCACGATTTTGAAGATCCAAGGGTCCGGGAAAAACCCGAAATCGTGTTACCCAGCTCTTGCTGTTCTCTGCTGCTCTCTGCTGTTCTCTGCTGTTCTCTGCTGTTCTCTGCTGTTCTCTGCTGTTCTCTGCTGTTCTCTGCTGTTCTCTGCAGTTCTCTGCTGTTCTCTGCTGTTCTCTGCTGTTCTCTGCTGTTCTCTGCTGTTCTCTGCTGTTCTCTGCTGTTCTCTGCTGTTCTCTGCTGTTCTCTGCAGTTCTCTGCTGTTCTCTGCTGTTCTCTGCTGTTCTCTGCTGCTCTCTGCTGCTCTCTGCTGCTCTGGATTGGTTTTCGCTCGGTTGGTTTTCGCTTGAACGGATTACCCTTTCGCTCGAACGAGCGTCTTTTCGCTTGAACGATCCACCCTCGGCCGGGATACTCTTTCTCCCCCGCGAGAGTAGTTAGGGGGACGAACTAATCACATCCCGCTCTTCGGGGCAGGCGGACCGGCGCAGACCTCGAGAATGAGACAGGCTGCACCCGCAGTGGTGGGCGGGCCACGCATCGTGGTCTTGGGGGTGCCTACCCTCGGAGGTGACCCTGGCCATATTCAGGTTCCGAACTTCCCACCAAGGCATCTCGGCTTCCTCGCCGTCCTGCTCCTCTCCCTCGTCCTCCTCCCCTTCTCGGGGGTCGGTCGACGTCCCCCGACCTCGCGGAAGAAAAAGCTGCCTAAGCACTAACTTTGGAAGGTCCACGCGGATCTCTTGTTAGGGGGCCACATGCGAACCCTACCCCTACCCCCCACGATTTTTGAGGGGGAGGGTGGGGTTCACTTCGCTCGTGACCCCCCGAACGAAGTGAACCCCACCCTCCCCCTCAGAAGTCGTGGGGGGTAGGGGTAGGGTTCGCATGTGGCCCCCTACTTGTATCGGCGCTGGACCCCTCCGCGGCGCGTGGAGCGCGCTGCGCGCGGCGCGCCGCCAGGAGGCTTCAGCGCCGATGCGAGAACTCCAGCGCGGAGCTCCGACCGTTCATGCCTGTGCCGTTTCATCTTCCTCGGGGCCTTCCTCCTCGGGAGCGAGGTCGGCGTGGTCCAGCAGGTGGACGCGGTAGTCCTCGTCAGGATCGGTCAGCACCGCATGGGATAACCAGATCGCACTGGAAATCTAGTGGGTTTCCGCCCGCCTCCTGAAAGAGGAGGGAAGAGGGAAAACCACTCGACTCTTGAAGTAGGAAGCGCTGAAAGTAGATTGGAATCTGGGAATCCAAGAACACCTACTTTCAACGACCGATGGGTAAATGTGCATCGGATCGGGCTGCATCGGTACGGAATCGAAATCGAATCGGATCCGCTGCGCCAGGGTGCACAACAACGCCCTGCAAGCATCGGGGCGCATCGGATCGTCGGAACATCGGAATCCGCCGACCCCTTGGGGATCATCGGCGTGTGAGATGCTTCCCCCTCCCCAAACCCCTCCCCCGGGAGCCCGGTCCGGTCGATTTGGAGGGGAGGGGGTCCGGGACGAGCGCAGCACGGCCGGGACGAGCGCAGCACGGCCGGGACGAGCGGTTCACGGGGCTTTTCCGGGCCCAAGAGGGCCTCAAGACGGGCCAAGAAGCTCCCACCCCAAGAGCCTCCAAGACGGCCCACGAAGCCCCGAGACGCCAAACGACCGCTCCAAGACGCCCGAGATGGCCCCAAGACGGGCCAAGAGGTCTCCAAGACGGCCCCCGAGGTCCCAAACAAGCCTCCCAAGAGGACCCCAAGAGTCTAAAATTGTTGATTTTCCATAGTGTTTTTCGATGTGTTTTGCTTTTCCGCCTTTTCGGCTTCCCGACGCTCCAAGACGGCCAAAGAGGCCCCAAGACAGCCCCAAGATGGCCCAAGAGGCCCCCAAGACGGCCTCCAGACGGCCCAAGACGGCCCCAACACGGCCCAAGAGGTCCCCAAGACGGCCCAAGAGGGCTCCAAGACGGCACCACGAGGGGCCCAAGAGGGCGACCAAACATGTTGAAACTCTAGCTTTCTGCCCCCAGGAGCCCCAGGGGGCCCCAAGAGTGCCCCAAGAGGCCCCCAGAGGCCCTCACGAGGCCGCCCAGACGCCCCAAGGAACCCCAAGAAGCACCCCAGAGGCTCCGAAACGGCCCCCAGGTGGCTCCAAAACTCGCTTCCAGAGGCCCCCGAGAAGCGATCCGCGAGATCCCGATACACATAAAAGAAGCCTCTCGGCCCAAGAGGGCTCCAAGACGGCCCCCGCGGAACTGCCCGAGACCCTCTGGCGGTGGCGGCGAACAGACACCAAACAAATATCATTCGCCTTTTCACCCCTTCGCAGCTTCTACTACCGCCAGATTGGCATAAATAAGGGGTCGGCGGTGTGGCGTAAGCCTAAGAATCAAATCAGGATCGGGCGGGCCGAACACGACATCGAATCCGATCGGTCGGATCGAAATGGCATCAGCATCAGTTTTTGGAGCTCCGCTGGATCTCCTGGATCGTCGCTGAACCCTCTCCCTGGCGCGAGTGCCGAGTTCGCGCGGGGCTCCGAGAATTCGCGTTCGCGCAGCTCTCTTCCAGGGATCGATCTAAACAGTGCTTTCCATTTTCTTTCTGTGTTCGCTGTCCCTCGGTCTGACGCATTCCATTCTTCCCTACCTAGGCTCTGCCTAGACGGTTCTTAACCTGTTCTCTTAAAGGGCCGGGCAATGGAACTCGCCCCGGGCGGTTCCCCCAGGATCCGCCCCGCGGTTCCCCGGTGACGTCCCCTTAGCTTAGCGTTGCTTATCTCATCTTAGCTTAGCTTAGCTTAACTTAGCTTAGCTTAGCCTAGCCTAGTTTAGCTTAGTTTAGCTTAGCTTAGCTTACCTTAGCCTAGCTTAGCTCAGCTTAGCGCAGCATTAGCATAGCATAGCATACCATAGCACAGCATGACATAACACATCATAGCGCAGCATGGCATAACGCCGCATATCAAATCATAACATCGCATAGCATAGCGCAGCATAGCATGGCATATCATATCATACCATAGCGCCGCATAGCATAGCATAGCATAGCGCAGCATATAATATCATAGCATAGCCTAGCATAGCACAGCTCAGCATAGCATATCATAGCGTAACATCGCATAGCATATCATAGCATAGCATAGCCCAGCATAGCGCAGCATGACATAGCATAGCATAGCCTAGCATAACACAGCGCAGCCGAGCTATGTCTTGCTGTCTTGCTTTGCCTGTGCAAAGGCCAAGCAAAACAACACACAAGCAAAAGCAAAGGCAAGGCAATGCAAAGCAACAGCAAAGGCAAAAGCATAAGCAAAAACAAAGGCAAGGCAATGCAAAAGCAACACCAATGCGAAAGTGTAGATGTAGATGTAGACGTATGTGTAGGTCTAGGTGTAGATGCGGATGTAGGTGTATATGTATATGTACATGTAGATGTATATGTAGCCCTGTGCACCCACCAAGAACCCCCCTTTCTCATGATTATAGATGATTATATATATATATATGTTTCCTACGATTTTCGGACTCACTTTTGAGGCTCTTTTGTGGACGACTTTTTGGGCTCCCTTCTACTCAACTCCCTCCGTCTCCAACACAACAGCCATTACTCAACAGCCTCCTTCTCCAACACAACACCCGATACTCAACAGGCTCCCTCCCCAACCTACTTGAAATGAAACCTTCTACACAACTCCCTCGTCTACAACACAACACCCGAGTCTCAACAGTGCGCGTCACTACCGCTCCAACACAAACACGCACCGATACTCAACAGCTCCTCCGGAAGGCTGAAACTTGAAAAGAACCTTCCACTCAAACCCCTCCGGTCTCCAACACAACCATCCACAAACACGATCCGCAAGATCTCAACAGCCTCCTTCTCCAACACAACACCCGATACTCAACAGGCTCTTTCCCCAAGCTGAACTTGAAAAGAACCTTCTACTCAACTCCCTCCGTCTCCAACACAACACCCAGTACTCAACAGCCTCCTTCTCCAACACAACACCCGATACTCAACAGGCTCCCTCCCCAAGCCTGCACAAAACCCCCCTTCCTCAGATTATATAGGAATTTAATATTAATGTTTCCTACGATTTTTCGACTCACTTTTTGAGGCTCTTTTTTGGAAACTTGTTGAGCTCCCCTCGATCAACTCCTCCGTCTCAACACAAACCCAGAACTCACACCTCCTTCTCCATCACTAATAATCCAAACTCAACAGCTTTCTCCCCAACCAAAACACAAAGAGTAAAATAGAATAAAAGTATGAAAAGAAAAAAGAAACAAAAACTAAAAACCACAATAGATAAGCATAAAAAAAAAAATATAAGGACTGATGAAAAAAAAAGACAACTAAAATATAATAAAAAAAAAAAACAAAATAGAAAAAAATAAAAAGAAGCTCAAAAAAAAAGAACCCAAGCTGAACTTGAAAATAATCTTCTACTCAACTCCCTGCGTCTCCAACACAACACCCAGTACTCAACAGCTTCCTTCTCCAACACAACACCCGATACTCAACAGGCTCCCTCCCCAAGCTGAACTTGAAAATAACCTTCTACTCAACTCCCTCCGTCTCCAACACAACACCCAGTACTCAACAGCCTCCTTCTCCAACGCAACACCCGATACTCAACAGGCTCCCTCCGTCTCCCAACACAACACATGTACATCTCCAAATCCTAACCACCACAACACACGCACAACCCTAAACACCAACCGCACCCCCCCCCCTTTTTTCTTGGCATCTCCAAGGAAAAGGGGGTTCATGGTGGTGCTCGTAGCCGTAGCAGTGAGGATATGAAGTGTAGTTGTAGTGTAATGTAGTAGTGAGTCACGCTGTTGATGTTGATAGTAGTGAGGTGCAGATTAGATGTTAATGTAGCCTGAGTTGTAGATGTAGATGTTTGCCCTTTCCTAGATGCTCCAACTCCTTGGTAGGGTCGCACTGGGATAATCTTTCTGTGTTCGCTGTCCCTCGGTCTGACGCAAAACGCAATCCAAGCGAAAACGGCCCATTCAATCACCAAAACACCGCTTATCGGCGGCGAGCGATGGGGGGGAAGTGAGAGGGAGGAGGCCTTCTCAGAAGAGGGCCGGGCTTCTCAGAGGCCTTCTGGCCTTCTGAGAAGTGTGTTGCGTCTTCGGGAAGGCTCAGAAAACTTCTCGGACGGCTGGAGGACTTCTGAGCCTTCTGAGAAGGCCCTCTCCTTCTCACTCCCCCCCGTGCGCGCCGCGGAGTTCAGGTCAATCGGTCTGGGGGGTCGTCGTCGTCGTCGTCGTCGTCGCCGTCGTCGTCGTCGTCGTCGTCGCCGTCGCCGTCGCCGTCGTCGTCGTCGTCGTCGTCGTCGTCGTCGTCGTCGCCGCCGTCGCCGTCGCCGTCACCGTCGCCGTCGCGGTCGCCGTCGTCGTTGTCGTCGTCGCTGGGCGGCCGCATCCAGGGGGGGAGCCCCCACAGCGGAGGAGTCCTCCTCTTCCTCCGCATCCTAGGAGCGGGGGGTGGTGGATGATCATACTCCTGGGTCCTCTAAGAACACCAAAGGGGACCTCCTCCTCCTAGTCCTCCTCCTGAAGAGGGGCGTCCACCCCAGACACCTTCGAAACAGGAAACAATCGCGACGGATGTTTGTTATTGCTGTTGATATTTTCGGCTTCGAGGGTCCCTCACCGTCGTCGTTTTCTTCTCCGAGTCCCCGTCGTCGTCTTCTTCAGGGCGGCGAAGTCTACACATATCCACTGCTCCCTGGCCCAGCAGCGGTAGATACGCAACGCCCCCCCTGGCTTGGCCAGTAGGGCGTAGGGCGTATACACAGCTCCTGAGTTCAGGATGGGCCTGGTCAGGGAGCAGTGGACATGTATACATAGAGAGAGAGAGAGGAACAACAAAAATCGTCGCCCGATTTCTTCGCCGAGTCCTCGTATAGCGGGCGCTCCAGGCTCCAGGCCGCGACGCCCCTCGGGTATAGCAGGCACTGCAGCTCCGGGCCGTCGGCGGCCGAAGGTGAGAAGCGGAGGGGTCCCGGGCCCCAGAAGAGACTCGAAGAGCATGCCTCGAGCAGGAGATCGACTACGGTCCGACCTGGGACAGAAGAGCACCCTTCGAGAACGTGAGACCCTCCGCCAGCCAAACTGACGAACCTTCGAGAGTACCCCCCGCAAGGATGCACAATAATATCCAACAGACACGAAGAACATTAGGGTACCGTCCCCGAACCGACCTCGATCTTATACCTCGGTCCGACCGTTGGAGATCGACTACAGAAGCGCTTTGCCCCAGAATTGTTGCTGTTTCGTCGAACCTACGAAAATACAGTCAACCCGTACATTTAGGACGCACGATAAGGATGCAAAGGCCTTGCAATGCCACGTCGACACTCTGCGGGCGGGGCCTGGCCTGCGAAAGCGGCCAAGGATGGGCAGAGGGGGAAGGATGCAAAGGCAACCTAGCAAAATTGCTCACCCTCGCTATGCGGGTTCACTGTGCGTTCAACGTTGATAGATGTGCGAAGACTCCGTGTATTTCGTGGATCTACGAACGACGAAATTGGGGACACATCAATTCTGCAGTCGATCTCGAACTCGAATACACGCCGGTGCCTCTATCTGCAGCCGTCGTGCCCCCAAAAGGACTGGTGACTACGCATGGAACGGAAAGGCCTTCTTGGCCCCGGCGGGCCTCGGCCACGAAGAGATTCCCCGACCTGAATCTAACCTCCTCCTCCTCCTCCTCCTCCTCCTCCTCGAGCCTCCTCCCCCTCCGCCTCCGCCTCCTCCTCCTCCTCCTCCTCCGCCTCCGCCTCCTCCTCCTCCTCCTCCTCCTCCTCCTCCTCCTGAGCGGCACGTCATCCAGTGCCCATCCTGAGCCCAGTGTGGTCCTTCTTTCAAGGTCTTCGCGGCAAGACGAGGGCACCCCGAGGACAAATCCGGATGAGGACCGATCGCGGATCTTCGAGCCGTCGGGTCTGGAGGTGTATCGGTCGATCCTCGTCCTAGGTAGGCCTGCCTGGCCCGCTCCCCTCGGTTGACGTCCCCCGATCCTCTTCCTCTCCTCTTCCTGGCGAGCGAGCGAGCGAGCGTCCATGCGGCTCTGCTGCGGGCAGAGCCGCGCCCCCTTGGGCGGGAGGGGAAGAGCCGTAGCCCTTGAGGAAAAGCGTGAAAGGTCTCATGTCGCGATCACGAACTGGTCCTCCATATTCTGCCATGCTGGGGATGGTGGCGTGGAGGGGGAGGTGCAGTCTGGACCGATCGCAGCGGACACCCGGGAGGGCACGAGTTCCTCTCGAGGGCACCCCATGCGCCAGACAGAACAAGGACATGGAACGCGACGGACGGGGCACAACGGCGCCCCTGATGCTGCAAGCTCGACCAATCGATCAGACCCGACTGAATACCGTGTGTCGGGGACGCACTGCCCTGGGTGAATGCAAACCCAAGTTACTCAGGCTTTACAGGATCCTGCAAGATCCTGCAGGATACTGCGCGCTGGCCCGGGTCAGCATTTACACCCCAGGCTCTGCAGGATCCTGCAAGATGCGGCGCTCTGGCTGACCCCCGTCTGCATAGACTCAGCGCCCCTCAAACGGGGACTCCACTAACGGGTACTTTGGCCAGTGACCCAGCGAACCCAGCCCTTCCCGATGTGGGCAAAGCTGCAATGCAAGAAAAAGGCCCTAAAGCGGCAACTTTCGGCAATAAGTCAAAGTACCCGTTAGTAAGTACCCGTTACGGTGCCGTTGATAGACCCCCGTCTCAAGGCTCCCGAGTGGGCGCACGCTCTCGGGGCCCGGGGATAGCATTGCACCTCGCCTCGTGGCAGCAGTGCTCCTTGCAGGCCTCCAGCGTGCGCGCCCCTGGGGCGGCGTCATAGAAGTGGTCGTACAGCCCGCCCTCGTCCTTATAGACCCACGTGCAATTCGCTCGCATGCCCGCCTCGGCACCCCCAAGGACCAGGGGGCGCTCCTCGGGAGGAGAGCAAGAATATCAATGACACGCTGCCGTTGGTACCCCGCCTGCGTATTACTCCTCTGATTTGTCCGAAGGCCTGGTGCTGTTTCAACAGTAACACGCCGATGGGTTCCCACGGCGGCGTGCCATTGACACCGCTTTCTCTCCCCCCAAGCTCCTTGCGGGGAAAGCGCCTCTTGGGCAGCATCTGGCCGTACTTGAACACCCTGTCGTACCTGCCCTCGGGCCACAGCTCGGGCACCACGCCAGGGATGATGCGCACGCCCCAACGGTTCTCCGGGAGATACCTGATGACCTCCTCCTTCATCTGCGCGAGCCGCCGGATGTCCGTCTGGCTCTCCTCGTGCGGTCGTTCAGGGGGGCTGCCGAGAAGAGGGGGGGGGAAGAAAGAGGCCCCACAGGGGCCCGCTTCGTTCGCTCTCCTTTAAATCCGCCGACCCTGTCGGCGTGTGTGAGGGGCTTTTCCGTTCGAGCCGTCATCTCCGTCATTCTTTGTACTCGTCGTCTCTGTCCTTCCCTTTCCCTGGGAGACCTCTTCCCCTGGGCTCCAGCCAAGCCGACCTTGAGCAACCTCGTAATTGAGTCGAAGGGAAGCCTCTTCCCTTTGATCCCTCCCCCGCCGGGAGGGGGAGGGGGGGGGTAGCGACCCCCCCCCCGGGTCAGATACGACGCCCCCCCCTGGGACTCCTCTTCCCCTGGGCTCCAGCCAAGCCGACCTTGAGCAACCTCGTAATCTCTTGCTGCGCATTGCGAACAGGGTCGGCGGCACCGGCCGTCAGGCCTTCGCAATAATACTACTACTACCACGACTACTACTACTACTACTACTACTACTACTACTACTACTACTACTACTACTACTACTACTACTACTACTACTACTACTAATACTTCTACTACTACTACGGCTACGGCCTCGACTACGACTACGACGACAACTTCGACGACTACGATTACTACCACCACTGTCGACCCCCCCCCCGGGTCAGATACGACGCCCCCCCCTGGGACTCCTCTTCCCCTGGGCTCCAGCCAAGCCGACCTTGAGCAACCTCGTAATTGAGTCGAAGGGAAGCCCCTTCCCTTTCATCCCTCCCCCGCCGGGAGGGGGGGTGGGGGTAGCGACCCCCCCCCCGGGTCAGATACGACGCCCCCCCCTGGGGGGACCTCCTCTTCCCCTGGTCTCCACCAAGAGCCGAAACCTTGATCAACCTCGTAAATTAGTCAAGGAACCCCTTCCCGCAGATCCCTCCCCGCCGGAGGGGGGGGGGGTGTCGAACCCACCCCCCGGGTCAGATACACGCCCCCCCCCTGGACTCCTCTCCCCCTGCCTCCACCAAGCCGACCTAGCAACCTCGTAATGAGTCGAAGGGAAGCCCCTTCCTTTTTTGATCCCTCCCCGCTGGGAGGGTGGGGGGGGTCGACCCCCCCCCGGTCAGATTACACGCCCCCCCCTGGATCCTCTTCCCCTGGGCTCCAGCCAAGCCGACCTTGAGCAACCTCGTAATTGAGTCGAAGGAAAGCCCCTTCCCTTTGATCCCTCCCCCGCCGGGAGGGGGGGGGGTAGCGACCCCCCCCCCGGGTCAGATACGACGCCCCCCCCTGGGACTCCTCTTCCCCTGGCTCCAGCCAAGCCGACCTTGAGCAACCCCTGGGCTCCAGCCAAGCCGACCTTGAGCAACCTCGTAATTGAGTCGAAGGGAAGCCCCTTCCCTTTGATCCCTCCCCCGCCGGGAGGGGGGGGGGTGTCGACCCCCCCCCCCGGGTCAGATACGACGCCCCCCCCTGGGACTCCTCTTCCCCTGGGCTCCAGCCAAGCCGACCTTGAGCAACCCTCGTAATTGAGTCGAAGGAAGCCCCTTCCCCTTGATCCCCTCCCCCGCCGGAGGGGGTGGGGGTAGCGATCCCCCCCGGGTCAAACGAACGACGCCCCCCCCTGGGACTCCTCTTCCCCTGGGCTCCAGCCAAGCCGACCTTGAGCAACCTCGTAATCTCTTGCTGCGCATTGCGAACAGGGTCGACGGCACCGGCCGTCAGGCCTTCGCAATCTCGGGGGCGGCCAAGAGGGGAGCGTCCAAGACGGGCGGGGCGCAAACCATGGCCGGCGGCATGTGCGCGGCCCAGGGGGGGGGGGGGCCGGGGGCCCAGGACGTAATGAAATAAGAAGAGGCGCCATGAAATCTCAGGAAATATCATGGCCCGCGCCATGATATCCACCCCCCCTGGTCATCGCCCCTCTCCTGGCCGCCCTCGAAAATCAGCCCCCCTTTACCGACCGGCCGCTCTCCGGGACCGTCAGGTACATGATCTCCGGGAAGTCGCTGGGAGGCAGGCGGTCCCAGAAGACGGTGGCGGTGGTGGTGGTGGCGGCGCTGGTGCCCGTGAGGGTGGTGCGGGTGCTCGAGGTCTCGCTTTAAGTCGGGCGTGTCCCCCTACAGGGGGATCCTCGACGAAAAAGGAACAATACTCCAAAAATATAGCCCCCAATGGTCAAAGCATGCTCCCAAAAATTGTCCCCTGACGATTCTTTGGCTATTTTTGAATAAAAGATAACCCCCTGGCTGTTCTTTGCCTATGTTTGCAGATTCCCCCTGCAGAGAAACAGGCCCGACTTAGGTCTCGCTGCGGGTCTCCGTCGGCGGCTGCTCGCCCGAGGCCTGCGCCGCCGTGGGGGCGGCGGCGAGGCTCGGCGGCGCGCACGAGGGGGATAGCGATGGGCCTTTTCTTTCCACCACCACCACCACCACCAGAAGTTGGAGGGGGGAAGGAGGTGGAGGACGAGGAGGAGGAGGACGAAGAGGAGGAGGAGGAGGAGGAGGAGGAGGAGGAGGAGGAGGAGGACCCCCTCACCCTCCAACTTATGGTGGTGGTGGTGGTGGAAAACAAGCCCACCAGATGGGGGGAGGGGGAAGGCTTCTTGGGAGGCTGCTTCTTAGAAGGCGCCAGCCTCACATCCACAGAGAAAGGGGCCCTGGGACACACAAATAAATATACACAAGTAACAGGATTCCCCCATACTTTCTCATATATTTTCTGGGTTTTCGTCTTCCCCCCACTTCCCATATTTTTCCATATTTTCTTGGGAATCGACGATTAATTGTGTCTGTGTTTGTTTCCCCTCCTGAATAGACAAGGCTCGCGCCTTTTAAGAAGCAGGGGTGCTTCTAAGGAGCCTTCCCGCCTCCCCCCACCCTCCTCTGCGCGTGGCTGAGAGGGTCGTGGTGCGAGAGGGAAAGAAAATTGCACAGACGCTCAACTTTCGACGGTCCGCGCGGATTTCCTGGATCGGCGCCGGAGGCGCCGCCAAGGGGGGTCCGGCGCAGTTCAAATGAATCCGCGCGGAGCTTCGAAAGTTTCTGTCTATGCAGTCTTTCGGGGATGGACAGAACCCCCTGTAGCAAAACGTGGTTCAGTGAAAGCGACCTCGGGCCCAAACCTGGCGGGCGCAAGCCTGGAAAATGACGGCCGCGGCGCCCTATCGAGAACCGAAAACGGACAATTCACGAATCGACGTGTCAGGACGGGGGCTCTGTCCACCCCCGTGCCTTCCCTTCTTTTTGGACGCCCGCAATGGGTACGGAAAAAATGGGTACAATGCTCAACAACAAATGTTGTCCCAAACCGACAGCGGCCGCTGTCGGGCAGGCGGCCTTCTGTCTCAAGTGGACACAGGCCGCGGCTGCGCGGACAGCGAGTCCTGTTCAAAATGAACAGGAACTGCTGTTGGGCATTGTTAGAGGACTCCTAGATGGGGTCGGAGTGGATGGGGTCGGAGGATCGCGCCGCATCGCCGATACATCGGCGATGCACCGGCGATGCACCGGCGACGTGGGCGACGTCGGCGTGGAGGAAATCGGGCTCCGCATCAAGCCGCATCGCCGATGCGTCGGCGATTCGGGCGCGATCCTCCGACCCCATCTGCTCCGACCCCATCCAGGAGGCCTAGAAAATTGAACCCATTCTTTCTGCGCCCACTTCGCGCGTGCAGATTCTTCGACGCTGGAGGCCGTGGTCGTGCCCTCCGCCTCGCCGAGCGGCGGGGCGTCCACGCGCCGCGCCGCCGGGCGCCCCTCGCCTGCCCCGGGGCCTCCAGCCCGCCCGCGGGCGGCGAGCTCCGCGATCAGGGCATCGTCGTCTCCCCCCGGGCCTCCGCTCGTCTCGCTGGGGGGAGCAAGCGACGGCATAAGCGCACAGTCAACGCGAAGAATGGGAACTGCATAAATATATATATATATATATATATATATATATATAGCCTGGGAGCCCCCTTGGTCAAATTTGGAGCGATGCTCTGGCCTCCTGGGCAGTCTCGGACGCCCGGAAGACCAAAGAGCTGAGCATTCCCCAAAGCAAGCAAACGCGATCGGAAATCAATGTTTTTGCTGCGTTTCGAATGCCACTTGGGGGGCTTCTTTGGGTTGTCTTCGGGCGTCTGGTGGGTTTCTGAGGCCTGTGGGCTCTCGCGGGGTCGTCCGGCCGCCCTACTGACCGAGTTGGGCCCGTTGCCTGGACCCAGCAAGGACTTCAGGAGCCCCTGAAAGCACAGGGGACCGTCTGCAAGGGCGTCCAGGGTGCCCCCGGGGCCAAAGATTCGGAGGGGTCCCGTTGTTTTGGGGGAGGTCGCAGGGTCCCAGTTTATAAAAATATAGACACTGGCACATGTATGTATGTATGTGTGTATATTAAAGTGATGGGCTGAACCGAACGGTCATTCACTGTCCCTGGGCGCGTGGCTGAAATGGAATTCCACGATGCGGATTCTCGTTGCTGTTGTTGATGGTGGTTGTTGTTTGTTGTTTGTTGTTTGCTGATGTCGTCGTCCCACCCGCGACCCGCCCCGCGACCCACCCGCGACCCACTCCGCGACCCAACCGCGACCCACCCGCGACCCACCCCGCGACCCACCCGCGACCCACCCCGCGACCCACCCGCGACTCATCTGCGACCCACCCGCGACCCACCCCACGACCCGCCCGCGACCCACCCCGCGACCTCCCCGGCGACCCACCCGCGACCCACCCCGCGACCCAACCGCGACCCACACGCGACCCACCCCGCGACCCACCCAAAATTTTCGGCGCCTGCGGCGGGCTTCTTTTGCATCCGTTCCAGGTGGAGAACCTGCGACCTACCCGCGACCCTAACCGCGCCCGCGACCCACCCGCGACCCACCGCGACCCACCCGCGACCCACCCGCGAACCACCCCGACCCACCCAAAATTTTCGGCGCCTGCGGCGGGCTTCGTTTGCATTCGTTCCAGGTGGAGAACATGCGACCCACCCGCGACCCAAACCGCGTTCAGTGTACAAATCCAAATTTTCGGCGCCTGCGGCGGGCTGTTTTTGAATTTCCTCCAGGTGGAGGTGGAGAGCCCGCGACCCACCCGCGATCCAAACTACGCTCAATGAACAAATCAAAACTTCGGCGCCTGCGGCGGGTTTGTTTTGCATTCGTTCCAGGTGGAGAACCTGCGATCCAAACCGCGTTCAGTGTACAAATCAAAATTTTCGGCGCCTGCGGCGGGCTGTTTTTGAATTCGTTCTGGGTGGCACCCTGCGCGTCCTGTTAGGAGGAGGAGGAGGAACAAGAAAAGGAGGAAGAGGAGGAGGTGGAGGAGGAGGCGGACAACGACGACGACGACGATGAGGACGAGGACGCGGACGAGGAAGAAGAGGAGGATGAGCAGGAATATATATACATATGTATATATATATACACATATACATGTATATATATATATATATACACATATAGATGTGAGTATGTGCCGCTATTTGCAACTAAGAAACTGACATACGTAACATGGTATAGTGGACATACTCTTGGTCCCAACATAACAAGGATGCACGACATGGATGCAAAGACCTTGGAAGGTCATATTGACACTTTTCCAGCGGGGCGCGGCTGGGGCGCGGCCAGCGAAAGTGGGCAATGATGGGTCGAAAGGGAAAGATGCAAGGGTAACCTTGGAAAACCGGTCAACTTTACTACGTATCCGTGTTGATTGTAATTCTTCAGGCGTCCCTGTAGAGTTCTTGGATCGGCACTGGATTCCCTTCCCTGGCGCACATGGAAGAGGGCTCTGGTTGGCGGCGCGCACCAGGGGATAGGGGGAAGAAAGAAGGCTTCTTAGAAGGCGGCTGATTCGTCGAGGCGCGGGCATTACATCTATAGACAGGGCCCGCGCCTTCTAAGAAGCCAGGGTGCTTCTAAGGAGCCTTCCCCGCTCCCCATACCCACTCACCTCTGCGTGGCTGATCTGGCGCCGATCCAGAAAATCCGCGCGGACCTCCGAGAAACTACTTATTACTTACGTTTACAGCAGGCTCGTGTCGTGCCGACTTCGGCGTTGGCTCCTGACATCGCGGGGATCATTCAAACTTTCACGATCGGCCGTTTCCAAAACGTCAGATCGTTCAACGTCGACCAATTCTGGGTCGCCGGCGGCGTTCAACCTTGAACGCCGGCGGCGGAGTCGCCGCCTGTCGACACGACGCGAACCTACCGTAAACAGAACTCCTCGGATGTCCGCGTGGTTTTCCTGTACCAGCGGTGGACTCCCCTCCCTGGCGCGCGGAGCGCGCCAAGAGCGGCGCCAGAGGCTTCGCCAGAGGGGCTTCCGGCGCCGATCCAAGGAATCCGCGCGGCCCTCCGAGAAACAGTTGAAGGAAAATAAGCAACACTCCCCCCTCCCTCGCAATTCAAAATTGGCATGTTTACGCATCACCGCTCGGACACTCAAGCTCGGAAGATCCGAAACCAATATTGCATACTGGGGGAGGGGGAGTTCAAACCATAATTATGCTCAAGTGTTTCCAACACCTGCATATTTGCGGCCAGACCTAGGACAGAAGAACATCCTCCAAAAACATGAGACCCTCCGCCAGCCAAAACTGAAAAACATTCGAGGATGCCCTCCCCCAGGATGCACAGTATCATCCAATAAACATGAAGAACATTAAGGAACCCTCCCCGAACCGACCTCGATCGTATACCTCGGTCCGACCGAAATTGTTCCTGACCTTCGTGGGCCCCGAAAATGGCAGGGCCGTTTTGTCACCGTTTCCGAAAAACGTCTCTTGAAAATGGAAACCGCAAAAAACGGCGACCGGAAACGGCAAAAAAACGGCTCCAAGATGGGAGCGGAGCCAAAGCCGGAACTGGTAAGAAAACGGCGACGGAACCGGTAGAAACAACGACGTCGGAACCGTTAAAAAAACGGCCACATCGTTTCCAGGGCCCACGAATTTTCAATCCATTGGAAACCTTCCACCATTTCTTGCTACCTCGGCCAAGCGACTGGAGCTTCTGGCGGGTGCGTTGTGCGTGAACCTGAAATGCCTCCAACATCAAAGTGCTACAGGCAGCAGCGGCAGCCGGAACGGAAGGCGTACCGGCGGCCAGGCGCATCGCGCGAACCGCGTCCAGACACCGCTGAGTGATCCCAAGACCTGAATTGGAGGCCTAGAAACTGGCACCAACACCAACACAAGGAGTTGCCTCCACAGGGGGAAGATGATCCTAGATTTCGGTGCTGGTGGTAATAGTTCGGCCACCTTGGAAGCCAGAATATTACCACCATCACCGAGATCGGGATCGTCTTCCCTCGGTGGAGGCACACCGCCGATCTTGGTGTTGGTGTCAACCTCTAGGCCTGCGACTGAATGCTTATGCCGTCCTTTGCTCTTCGACTCGCTGGCGCCCACGATGCCGGAGCCGCCGCGGTCCACGAGAGGCCGCTGCGCCCCTCGGTCGCGCGGGCTGGAGCGCAGGGGGGCCCAGGCGCCGAGGAGGCAGCCGGCCGCGACCAGGACCAGGGCCGCGCGGACGGCCACGGCCGCGGTGCCTCGTCGTCGTCGTCGTCGGCGGCGTCGGCGGCGTCGTCGTCGGCGTCGTCGTCGTCGGCGTCGTCGGCG